TAAATATCTTAGATTATTAAAAGAAAGCTTTGAGCAATCTCTCAGAATGTTAGCACATAAACATAGCTGGACATCACAAAATTCTGGAACCAGAAAATCAAATATCAGGAACTCAGAACACGGAGTCACCTGAAGCTACACAAACCTTTACTTTCATGCTCTCTGAACACAGACTTCTTAAACTTGCTTCTTTGAAGTTGTTGATGGGTTTAATGTAGTTCTGTGGGAATGTGAAATGACATGGCTTCCCCAATTGTGGTCTGAAATGGCTTCCCTAGCAAAGCACTCATGACTGTCCTTCTTGAGACAGTTCTAAATTTGGAGAGGTAAAATGTAGTTTCTCAGAGTAAACAGACCGTGTGTGTGTGTGTGTGTGTGTGTGTGTATGTGTGTGTGTGTGTGTGTGAGAGAGAGAGAGAGAGAGAGACAGAGAGACAGAGAGACAGAGAGACAGAGACAGAGAGACAGAAAGAGAGATCTCAAAGCTTAAGGTACTATGGTTCTTCCTGCTCTTTCAGTGGTTAATAACAATGCAATCTCTGTTAAGATTTTTGACACATTGGCAAAAATATAGTACAGCAATAAATTGGAAATGATGGGCAGAAAAATATGTAATTAATTTCAGTTTGATATTTTATGCTTGAAATAGAGCCACTAATTTATGTCACCTTATATTTTTAGGTTTTATAATTTATGTTTAACACTAAATATATTGTGGATTCATTTCACTGGAAGACATTTGATAAAAATCAAAAATTTAACATGGATCCTTTATAAGCTGCATGTTAAAATAAAAAAAATAGCATGAAAAATAAAAGTCAATGACAATAACTGTGGTGGTATTGTGTTCCCCAAAATATTGTATACCCTAATAAACTCATCTGGGGTCAGAGAACAAAAAAGCCACTAGATATGTAGGATAGGCAATGGTAGCACATGCCTTTAATCCTAGCATTCCAGAGGCAGAAATCCATCTGTTCAAGGATACAGGCAAGAATGGTGACTCACACCTTTAATCCCAGAAAGTGAGCCTTTAATTCCAGGGAGTTATGGTAGAAAGCAGAAAGGTATATAATGCGTGAGAACCAGAAACTAGAAGCATTTGGCTGGTTAAGCATTGGGCTAGTTAAGCTTTTAGGTTTTGAGCAGCACAGTTCAGCTGAGAGCCATTCGGATATGAGGACACAGAGGCTTCCAGTCTAAGGAAATAGAATCAGCTCAGAAACTGGCAAGGTGAGGAAGTTGTGGTTTGTTCTGCTTCTCTGATTTTCAAGCATTCACCCCAATAACTGGCCTCAGGTTTGTTTTATTAATAACTTTTAAGATTGATGCTACAAAAAACAAACACTACTTATTGCAAAAGTAGCTCCTATTCTGAATATATTGTTTCAATTTGTAATTGATCACTGCATAAATTATAATATTATTAATATTAATTATAACAATTTAATTTTATACATGATGACACTGAAATCTCATCTAAAGTTTGCTGTTTGAGCAGTTTATACTTGTTTTTCTTGGAAAAATAGATGATACTACAATGTGCTTGTATGTATATGTATGTGGAGTTTGTGTTTATGTGCAGAATTAAATCCTGGAATTTTTATCCCTGTATGTTCTATTTTACAATATAATTATAAACTATTTCAGTTAGTAATGAAACACAATTTAAAAACCCATTTAATCCATTAAATATTGAAATATAGAGAATATTTAGACAAGCTACCAATAGAGATAATAACTTAGACATAGTTGGTTAGTGAACTAACAAGCACCTGGAAAAACTAAAATCATAGGTAATCACTACCACACAAAAAAAGAAACTTGAAAAGAAATCTATTCTCCATCATATGCTTTATGTAATATTCTTCAATGAAGGCATTTTTTCTAAATCTACACATTTAAGGCTAGAGGCATTGAATGCTATCTTCTGCAGGGATCTGGACAGAAGCAGAGGGACATAGAAGCATTCAAAAAGTTCAAGTGTAATTTAAAGCCAGCATAAGTTAACTCAAACTTCTGGAGTGATTGAACCAACCTATATAATTTAGAATTCAACAAACCTGAAAAACAAGAAGCTAGTGCTCATTTGTCGTCTCACTATGCAGAGCATAATGTTACATTCCTAAGCATAGTTATCATGAATGCTCCAATTTGTGAATGTTGTTCATAGAGGTATCAATAACAGAATGGTTCTCAGTGAATTACAAACTAATAAAAAAGTAGGATACCATTCAAAATGACAGTGTGGCTATGAGACTTTCTGCTTCCAATCAGTAGTGTTTTCTACCTCTTCACAGAAGGATCTCCTTGGTGTCTATATATTTAGATTTTCAGTTAACACCAACACTACCGGCTTATACATATATAGAACTAATTGGTTGGGTTTTCTATACATTTTGTTTTGCACTGTGAGGACAGCATATTTCATTCAGCATTCATCTGTTTGTGCAAGTGTTTCTCATTTGATTTGATTTAACATTGTTTGAGTTCAGATGTATTTTTTTCAAATATAAGGGTACACAAAGTAGTTATACATCAAATACATTTAACTCCTAAGATAGAAGGTTAATGGCTAAGCAATTTATCACTGAGCTTTGCTGTTTCAGGTTAGGGGAGTTGAGCTGTTTCAGAGGAGGTGACAGTCATTCTGTAATGGTACTTCAAACTAGATGAAGGGTGGAGAGTGGCAAAAGTTGAGTCCAAGAGGAGCTGACCAATTTTGGAAAATGAGGCACAGAATGATGTCTAAGAGGACCAAGACCATTAGTGTTGCAGCAAGAGGACTCAATTTCACAAGAGACAGGAAGAATCTAAAGCCATTACTCTGAGTTTATGCAGTTAAGTTTTACAGGGTTTATGGGCTACAAACAAAAAAAATTGTTTGCCTCCAGAAAGTTATAAACCTAACGTGCATACACATCCCCAAATTATGTTCAAGTTTTACATCTGTGTAGTATTTTCATGCAGTGCCAAATCTTTAAATAGCAAGTTGAGGAGGACTACTCAAATGTTTTTCAACATATATTTTTATCAAATTATGGAGTAATAACTCATGTAACTTGGAGAATTTCCTTTAAAAATAGGGAGAAATAATTACTGATAAAGAGGAAAATGGATACAATCAATGATTCTGTACACATGTCTCAGTATTTTGGATCATATATTTTAAGTCCTTCCTAATAGCTGTTCAAAAGTCACTTATTAGTAAATGTATTGAGTGGAATAATTGTAGTCTTTTGAGTATCAGTAGGTCTCTCTCCAAGGAGACCTAAGGCTTCTAAGCAAGCCTAACTTCCATTTACAGTTTCCATAGCTGGAATAATATTTATGCACATTACCTAATTTGGTATAGGTTAACACTAAAAGTTGGTCTAAATTTGCTATTCAAACAGTTGGTACTTATTTCTTTGGGATAAACAACTAATACTGCAGTGTGTGTGTGGTGTGTGTTTGCAGTGTGTGTGTGTGTGTGTGTGTGTGTGTGTGTGTGTGTGTGTGTGTGTGTGTGTTTGAGACAGGGTTTCTCTGTGTAGCTTTGGTTCTATCCTGGATCTTGCTCTGTAGACCAGGCTGGCCTCAAACTCACAGAGATTCACCTGGCTCTGCCTCCCAAGTGCTGAGATTAAAGGTGTGCACCACCCCCACCCGGCCAGTGTATGCAGTTTCAAAACCTGTAATTTCTGTCATGTTTCCCTCTTAATAATTGTTCACAGCTTCTCTTTTTAAAAACCCTCAAACAGAAATATTTCTTTTAATCTGGAGTATAACTCAAAATAAAATGAAAATTCTTGTGTTTTAGTTTTTTAACATGTAGTGTTAAAAGGTTGTGATGTTTGTTATGGACCAGTGGTTGTCATCCTGTGAATTGTGACCCATTTGGGCGGTTGGATGACCTTTTCACATATCAGATATTCTGCATATCATATATTCACATTATGATTCATAACAGTATCAAAATTCCAGTAATGAAGTAGCAATAAAATAATTTTATGATCGGGGATTACCACAACATGAAAACTGTACTAAAGGGTCACAGCATTAGGAAGGTTAAGAGCCACTGGTACAGACTATGAAAACTATGCACCAGTTTTTTTCCTTAGGCTAAAAATGTAGCAAATCTTCAGGTGATGAATCACTTCATGAATTAATATTATGGATCTCAAAATACTAACTTTTATGGTTTTGGGGTTTTTTTTTTGTTATTGAGTGTGAAAAAGAAATAATTCCCATCATTACCACATGATAATTTTATGGTGAATCATAGAAAAACAGTTTCAGAGTTTCTAAAGAAAGGATTTGGTTAACAGCTAAGGAAATGATGCAGTTTAGCCTTGGGCTAAACGGACCTAAATTAACAACATGGGAACACTATAAAGTGTTATTGTTGATTAGAGAAGGAAATAGGGTCATGATTATTTATAGAAAGATCCAAGCTCATACAGAACACATTTAAAAGTTAAATGATGTATGTAGGATCACAGAATTATTGATCCAGGTTTAACCTCTAGCATCTCAAGCACATTCCCCTTGAGTTTTCCTGGGGCTCTCAGTAAACATGCTAGATGTTGCAGAGTAATTCAGCTTTCTGAACAGCTCATTTTTGGTTTTAAATATTTTTCACTGTTAGAAAATATCTCCCTTACATCTTATTATGGTCTGCCTGGTTCTCCTGAAATTCAAATTTAGTGTTTTGTTTAGCATGACAAACACCAATAGATAGTTACTGCAAATGAATGTGATGCCAGACGATGGAAATAAGGAGATTAACTCCAGCTAATGGTTCCCAATACTAGGTCAAACCAAGAAATGATAGAGATGTAGAGATGGTTCTGTTTACAGATCTTTATCTATAAATATAGATATCAATGTAATATATTATCAATTTCAGATAGTTGAGTTCCCAGCATGTGCATATTGATATTCATTTCATCTGACACATTTGCCATATTGGGCTTATGCCTGACATTTGATGTTGCTCTTGTATGATTATATTCCAGGACTACCATGAAGATGTGTTCAATATCGCCACTGTGGAGGACTGTAACATCCCATTCTCTTGATTATCTTCATGTCCATGAAGTTGCCAGGCAGCTCTAATTTTGAAATGAATGAATTTTAACATCAGATGAGGATATCCATTAAAAACATCTCTCTATGGATAAGTCTGCCTATGTTTCTACATGTTGTAGTTACAATTTAATTTACAACCATGCATATGGTTGTTGTGGGCAGAGGCATTTTCATTCTTTTCTCTGGGTTTTCCTTCATTTTTTTTCCTCCTCACCATCATGGTAGAAGAGAGGGATCTGGTCTCCTTTGACACAAAATCTCCTTTTCACACAGAGTGAGTTCTCGATTGTACAGTTAGGACTTGCAAGAGATACTCAGGTTGCCCTCCACATTTGCAGATGAATGGGTATCATTATTCCTTAAAAACAATTCCAAATTTACCTCTTTATATTTGTAATGTTGGGTTGACTTGTGTCTGCTTTTACACTTAAGTCAGTATGCTCTAGAATTCCCTTGGTTTGAAATTTTTCAGTACCCAGATCTTATGAAGATAACACACATGTATTGGTCATATATGCTTCTTCTTTGGGAAGCTATATGTTCAGTTCATTACAAATTTATGGATTCTCTCAGTTTACTTTAATGATATTTGGTCTTTAAAAATATAAATATATTCCAGGACTTCAGATATTACAAGATACCTAAAATTTGTATTAGTCAATAAAATCAAACTATAATTTATTCTTTAATGGATAATTTTTGAGTTTTGAAATAAATTTAAAACTTTTGTAATATATTCTAACTTGCTTTTTGAACTTGACATAATATTGCTTTTTTCTTGTTTATTCAACAAAATATTTTGCTGAATCAAATATGTTTTCTTTTTTAAAATAGCCACACATTTATGATTGAAAATTGGAAAATGCATTATTTAATGTATGGATATTGATGAGTTGGGCATATGGTTAGAAATTGAAACCCCTAAAAGAAAGGAAACATGTACAGCCATCATATTCAATTTCTTGCCTCTTTGTTGATTTTTTTAAAGTAGATTTTACATGAAGTCTCTCTTCTTCACAAACTTTTTTAGTGCCCACGAGACTCTGCATAACCTCCCTAGAAAGGATGCCTTTTACCTGTGACATAACATTTGCCTGTTCTTTGCTTTTGGTGGCATACCCAAGAATTCATTCCCTGCCTACATGGATGTTAAGAAATAATCTCCTGTATTTCCCTCCAAGAGTTTTATATTTTCAGGTCTAAGTTTTAATACACATTAAGTTGATTTTTGAGTGTGGTATAAGGCAAAGTTTTACCTTTTCTTTTTCGTTTTCCGAAATAAACTTTCAATACTTTCCCTTGTGTATTTTATCAGCTGTTTGCTTGAACAGAATATCATTGTATTTCATTAAATCTGTCAATCACTTGTATATGCTTCATTGCTCCTATTTCAATAGCTAGTTGCATATTAAATTTCCAGGCCCGCTTATAAATCTGCACCTCAGTGCTCAAGTGGGCTTATTTTAGAGAAATATATAGATCCCCTCATCTTCAAAATAACAAATTGGCAATGTATGAAAAGCATTATGATTCTTCTAATGTATCAGAACCCTGAATCTTAACAAATCTATCTAATTAGGTCTGGAATAATTGAAATGACCAGTTTGGTACATAGTTGTTAAGAATTGCAATGTCTTCTTGGTTGATATTTCCTTTGATGAGTGAATATTGTCCTTCCCTATCTGTACTGATTAGTTTTGGTTTGAAGTCTATTTGGTCAAATATTAAAATGGCTACATAAACTTGCTTCTTAGGTCTATTTGCTTGACACAACCTTTCCTTTTACACTGAGATAATGCCTACCTTGGTGTTGAGGTGTGTTTCTTAGGTTGCAGAAGGATGAACAGTGTTTTAACATCCATTCTGTTATTCAGTGCCTTTTCATTAAAGAATTGAGACAGTTGATGTTCAGCACTATCAGTAAGCAATGTTGTTTCCTTTTTATTTTATTGTTGTTGTGGTGGTGGTGGTGGTGGAGGTGTGTGTGTGTGTGTGTGTGTGTGTGTGTGTGTGTGTGTGTGTGTGTGTGTGTTTCACCTCCTCTCATTGCTGGTTTGGAATGATTTATTCCTTATGATTTTCTGGGTTATGGTTATCCTCTTTAGACTGAATTTTTTCTTCTATCACCTTCTGTAGGGCTGAATTTATAAATATTGCGTAAATTGTTTTACTATGGAATGTCTGTGGTGGTATTGTGTTCCCCAAAATATTGTACACCCTAATAAACTTATCTGGGGTCAGAGACAGAACAGCCACTAGATACAAAGGCTAAAAAATGGTGGCACTCAACACCTTTAATCCTAGCATTCCAAAGGTAGAAATCCCTCTGGATCTCTGTGAGTTCAAGGCCACATTGAAAACAGCCAGGCGTGATGACACACGCCTTTAATCCCAAGAAGTGAGCCTTTAATCCCAGGGAGTGATGGCAAAAACAGAAAGATATATAAGGTGTGAAGACCAGAAACTAGAAGCATTTGGCTGGTTAAGCTTTTAGACTTTGAACAGCACAGTTCAGCTGAGATTCATTCTGGATAAGGAAACAGGATCAGCTGAGGAACTGGTTAGGTAAGGAAGCTGTGGCTTGTTCTGCTTCTCTGATCTTCCAGCATTCACCCCAATAACTGGCCTCAGGTTTGTTTTTATTAATAAGACTCTTTAAGATTCCAGCTACAAATGTCTTATTTTTTCCATCTATTCTGATTAAACGTTTTGCTAGTATAGTACTTTGGGCTGGGATGTGTCCTTTTTGAGTTTGTAGAACTTCTTCCAGGTGTCCCTTCTGGGTTTTGGAGTCTTCACAGTGAAGTCAGCTGTTTTTCTAATAGGACTGCCTGTAGATGTTATGTGATCTTTTTCCTCTGCAGGTTTTAATAATCTTTTCTTGTTCTGTGTGTTTAGTATTTTGATTATTATGTGCTAAGGTGGATTTGCTTTCTGGTCCACTCTATTTGGTGCTCTGCACAACAGGATACCATAGTTCTAAAAAGTAAAACTACTAAAATTTAAATCACATACTGACCCTCATACACTCATAGTGGGAGACATCAGTACCCAAATCTTAACAATGCATAGGTCATCCAGACAGAAAAATAAATTTGGTAGCTGATGGCATTAACTACATGGAATTAAAATATATTTACAGAACATTTCACCCAAATAGAAAAGAATATAACATATTCTCAGCACCCCATGGACCTTTCTCCAAAACTGATCTTGTAATCAGACACAAAGCAATTATCAAAAGTTACACAAAAATTTAAATAACACACTGCATCCTATCTGACAAAAGGCTATCTCATTAGATTTTTGTCAAAGGCAGAAAAGGCCTTTGGCAATTCCCAATACTCCTTTGTGATAAAAGTCCTAGAGAGATTAGGAATACAAGCAAAATACCTCTATATAATAAAGGAAATTCATAGCAAAACCATAGACAATATCAATTTAAATGGAAAGAAACTCAAAGATATTCCACTAAAATCATAAACAAGTTAAGGTTGTCCACTCTCTCCATATCTGTTCAATATAGTACCTTAACTCTTAGCTGAAATGGTAAGACAACCAGAAGAGATTGTAAGAGCACAAATATGAAGGGAAGAAGTCAAAGTATTTTTATTTTCAGATGATATGATAGCATACATAAGTTACCCAAATACTCCACCAGGACACTCCTACATATAATAAACACTGTAAGCCAAGCAACAGTATACAAAATTAATTCACAAAATTTGTAGCCTTCCTATATACAAATGACAAATGGACTGAGAAAGAAATCAGGGAAACAAAACATTCATAGTAGCATTAAATTAAATAAAAAACAAACAAACAAATGAAAAACATAGGGCAACTAGAACCATGAAAGTAAAAATGTTTCAGGGTAAAAACTTTAAGGCACTGAAGAAATAAAATGATATCACAAGGAAACATCTCCCATGTTCATGGATTTTTCTCAGATCTTGAAAGGACAAATTTCAGCTTCATGTGGAAACAAACAAAACTAGGAAAGCTAAAACAATCCTGAATATTACGAGAACAACTAGAGATATCACCACCACAGACCTCAAATTTTACTACAGAATTACAGTTAAAAAAAAGTATGATATTAGCACAAAAGCAGTGAGTCTAAGGTTTCATATCTAACTTATCTTTTATCATAACTAAGGAAAATTATAACTATCTAGTTTTCAACTACATCAAAGACCTCAGAAGGATATAATATTACCTGAGAAATGGTAGAAGGACACAAGCAACTTTCGGGATTCTTGCAAGAGCAAACAGGCAGCTGGCAACCTGGACAGTCATCCAAAGTTCTTTTGTAAAGTTGGGGCATCTGTCTTCAGCCCACAGGCCTAGAGTCTCTCAGTCACTTTTCTCTGTGTCCTGTAGAATGTCTGGCAGTTTCCTCTGTGAAGTAGGAGCCTGAAGGACCATTTTGCCAAGCAAAGTTCAGTAGTCACCTTCCTATGGGTCCTGCATGTCCAGTTGATCAAGCAGTCCAGACAAGAACAGTTTCTTGCCCAAATGGCTCTTTTTGCCAAAGTGAAGATAAACTCCACATGGAGTGTCTTCAACACCCATCCTCCTCTCTCAAGTAAATCGGTGCTGCCAGGAGCAGACATGTCTCACTGTCCAGAAAGTCTAAATTTTTAAAACATTTTATATGCCATATTCTGTAGGTCTTTGAATTCTTTGAAGATTACCTATCTATCTAAAATATATCTATGTATACCTAGAAAACTGAACTAAAATGCTACAAGTTTGACTATCATAGAAGACTAATTGTTAATCTGTGTTTCTTATTTACCCATTACAATCTAAATGAGTAACATAAACATAATACCTCAAATGAGAGTAGAAATATCTATACAGTATAACAAAATCAAGTTTAAACTTGTATCAATAAACTAAAATCCATAGCAATGTAAAACATTTTTAAACAAGTTGCTCTTTAAAAGTAGGTTCAATAATCTACCCTTTCATCCTATCATCTATATCATATCCCCTTTTTTTCTTTAGAAAGAGATTGCATTTATAATCAACCTGTTTTTTAAAAAAAACATTGGTTTTTCTCTGTCCCACACCAGAGGGCTCTTCT